TGGGAATTAATGGGCTCATCTTGCAAAGGCAGGCATCCAGAAATGCTGTTTAAAGTTATGGAATTAAAAAAAAAGTTTCAGTGTTCTGTTGTATTGTTTAAGATACCTATATATCAAGTTACAGTAAGAATAGAACTTCCTCGGCCAGATCTTTACGCAGATGTCACACTGCCCAAATTGCAGCCTTCTTTCCCCACTCACACTCTTTCACTTCCTGGCTTCATTTTTTCCTCACATTGTGCTTATGATGTGATGTGATGTGCTGTGATGTGATATAATATGTATTTTTGTGTTTGTTGCTGGCTTCCCCACCTCCTCCACTGCCCCCCCCAGGAATGCTCAAGGAGAAGAGGAAGTTTTTGTTTTTTCTTTCCTAATAGCTCTAGCTCCAAAATTATCCCACAGTTGTTACTCATTAAGCACTTGCTGAATGAATGCGTTCCCATACAACAGAAAGTAAACAGACGTGGTATAAATTAAACATTGTTTATGTTAAGATTTAAAAGTTGGCGGTGCAGCTCGATAAGTCAGGATGTTCTGAGTCTGTAAACAAGCGTCACAGATGTGATGCCCAGCGAAGCACAGTAGGTTGCTGTGGGGGCTGGAAATGTGAACACAGGAGGCTTTTGCTTTCTTTCCTAACTCTTCAGCACGTGCGATTTGTGAAGTCTGTAAATGTATTGCTTTGATGGAAAATAACTAGAATCAATGAGAAATTTGAGAGCTTTGACTTGATTTTCGTGACTCGGTGCAGCTACATTAGAACCTGCCTGTACCTGTTAGAACCGCATACCCTGCATCTAATTTTCCAAGTCCTGGACCATGTACACTTTCCCACAGGCTCCACGTTGATGTTCTTGAGTCTTTTGACTCCCCTGACTTTGAAGTTTCCAGGACATCCTTGACGCCACCTCTTCACTCTTTCTGTACTGCAGTTTTTCTGCTTGTCCAGCAATCTCTAAAAATGTATTTCTCTTGTTTTATTCCTGAGGGTTCGTTGAGCCCAGTATCCTAAGAGGTTGCGATTCATCTACAAAGCAATGCATCTCATTCAGGATCACTTTTACCTGCGTGTACTCTGCTACAGCACATTTTTTTTTCTCTATTTTAAGTCTTGCCACTTCCAATGACCACATTATTCTCTTCAACAACTGATAGCTTTGTTCAGGGGCTTTAGTTATGGGCAACATAAATAGCCTATATATGCTCTGGTTAGTTTAGGCAAAAAGGAATTTGTTAAGGAGTATATATATAGTTCAGTTGGAAAAACTAAAGCCATTTTCAAAATAAGCTTCCAGGAAACATTCCCAGAAATCTCACTACAGCACAGCACTGGACTGCCAGGGGAGCCACTGCTTCTGCCACATCAGAAAACTGCAAGAGCTGTAAGCTCCAGAACTCACCCCTCCTGCCGAGGCCAGGAAGCTGCCAAACCACCTTGCAAATCTGGACAACTGCTGGCTCCTTGTGCTTTGCCTGTACCACAGTCTATGCAAGCAGAATGGACGTTATATGCTACCTCTTCTTCTATGTAGCTCTGTTCTGATTCAAAAATCTTACGTGACTGTATGTAATAGGTGAAATGTAAATTGCATGGACCCTGTCTGGAACAGATCTGGGCAGTTCATTTGTTTGCAGCTGCTGTGCTACAACAAGACAGTTAGGTAAGAGCACAACCAGGACTTCCACCACAAAAGGATTCTCTGTAATTATTCCTTGTTTCTGAAGATACCGCTGCAGAGGAAACTTCGTTGTATCTTAACAAAGCTGCCCTAAAAATTCAGAGATTCTGGGATGGATGTCCGCAGCAGTTAAGATGCCATCCAATGTCAGAGGACTTATTTCTAGTCTTAGCTCTGCTTCTGAGTGCACCTGCCTGCTAATACTCACCTTGGGAGGCAGCAGGTGAAAGCTCAAGTCGTTGGTTGCCTGCCACACACATGAGAAACCTGGACTGAGTTCCTGGCTCTGCTTTCAATCTGGTTCAGCCCTTAACTCTTGTGGGCCTTTGGGGAGTGAGCCAGTGAGTGGGATAGCTATATATCTATATCTAGTCTAATCTATATCTATATCTTTCTCTTTACCTTTCAAAAAATAAAGTTGTTTTAAATAAAATAGATTCTGAGTTTTAGAAGCCTCTGATTAAAATGTAATTACTACACGATTTTTTTTAAGGAAAAATAATCTTTCAGTTTGTTTGTTTGTACAGGCGGCACCATTGTCCACTGGAACCACGCGAATTTATGAAAATTCTGGCGTATCTTGCCCCACAACTGAATATTTGGAAAAATATCCTATGCATGGCAATATTCTTCCACCTCAAGTCTTAAACCCAAGCAAGAATTCCGCGCATGCCGAGAGAAAATGGAAGGAATAACTACATTTAAGTAAATATTGGGCAACTATTTGCTTTACTTATTTCCCTCCCAACTCATCTGGACTAAAGGTTTCTAATATTTAAATTGAATGGCTTAGTGATTTAAGTTGGGTCAATCCAAAAAGCAAGAAAGTAGTTAAGTCACAACTTGAGAAAAATTGGAAAGATGAAAATTAAGTTCAGTTGACAAAGAGTGAGTAGGGGGAAATTAAAAGTTCTGTTTATTTTTTAACCTCCTAAAATGTCTTATATTTATCTGCTTTCCCCCATCACCTGCCTGGAGGAATGCAGTAGCTTCCTGGTATCTGTATCTACTCTAGTTTTTCATCTAGAGTCTGTTTTCAATGATTTAGCCTGCCAAGATGATCTTTTTAAAAATGCAAATCTAATCCTATCACTTCCTTGCTTGGAAATGCGCTTAACTTTCCCATATGTTTAACATAGAACTCCTGTCCAGCATCTCTTATTATTGTTCCCTGCTTGCTTTCCTAGTTTATTTTCATTGCAATGCCCTTTTCACTGTATTTCGTTCCCACAGCATAAGCCATTCATTCTTTATTTGCTTGAAGTGCCAGATTCACTTGATTAAAAGCATCCTAGGATGCTGTTTTCCTTGCCTGGACTTTTTCTTCCCACTTCCCCTAGTTAACAGCCATTTAATCTGTAGATCACAACTCAGTTATCCCTGGGAAAAGTCACCTCTGACCCCTCACCAGTGTTAGACTAGGTACAATTTGTGTGAGTTCTCAAAGCACCTTTTTGTGATTTGTCACTAGCTTAGTACAGTGTGTCATGAAAATAAGAACTAAGTCTATATTATCTCAGCCTTTTTCCCTCCAGAAATCTGGTACAATGCCTACTAGCACATAGTAGGTACCCAGTAATTTTATAGGATGAAAACCAAAATCCCTTAAGCTTATTTAAACTTTTCATGTGGAACTAGTTTTTTTGTTTTATCTCTTCATACTTTGCAACTTGGTCAATTCTTCTATCATTTTATTTAAACCGTTCATGTGTATACTATATTCAAGACACTATCTTAGGCATTAAGTACAGAGAGACAAGTAAATTGAAATTCCTGCTTTCAAGGAACTCACATATCAGAATCTGCCATCTGAGGTTTTCAGAATGTTGTGTAATAGCTTTCATTTTTAGTGTCATTCATTTCCATTTCATCTCAGCTAGAGCTCGTCCTACTTACAAAGCAAAAGTGGACACTCAAGCAATTAGCATTTCTACTTTTAACGTTTCTGGAAAACCTTGAAGTAACATTGTGTTGATAACTCTAGTTACTTCTATAGTTTGTCACTCTTCCACAAATTTGAAGATTTTCCATAGTCCTCAGACTTCAGTACACTTTCATACAATCTGAAAGTGTGAAAATCCAAAATAATGATAGGTTTCAGGAGAAGAGGTAAACAAATTGAACAACTAGTTGAGATAGAGCAAACTTTTTTCCCCCTTCACCTTAATTTGTTTCTTTTGTGCCTTTACTGGCTTATAATAGAGATTTGAAATAATTCTCAGAATATTCATATTTAAAAACAAAACTAAATATATTTCCTTGTCAGCAGTTTTAAATGTTAAAATTAAGAAACTTTACCTACCTTTTTTTTTTTTAAAGATTTTATTTATTTGAAAGTCAGAGTTACACAGAGAAGGAAAGGAGAGAGAGAGAGAGAGAGAGAGGTCTTCCATCTGGTTCACTTCCCAGTTGGCCATGACGGCCAATCCGAAGCCAGGAGCCAGGAGCTGTCTGGTTCGTCCCATGTGGGTGCAGGGGCCCAAGGACTTTGGGCCATCTTCTTCTGCTTCCCAGGCCATAGCAGAGAGCTGGATCGGAAGTGGAGCAGCCGGGACTCGAGCCGGTGCCCCTGGCACTGCAGGCAGCTGCTTTAACCACTATGCCTTAGTGCCGGCCAACCTACCATATTTTTTTCTGATAATTGTTTTTCATTTCTGAGTTTCCCAGTGGTCTTGTTCAAGTAGCCTTAATAGTTGAAAAAGAAAACAAAAAGTTCCAAATTGGCAAAGATCCAAATATCCCAGTAAAGCTAAAAATTCCATTTCTTCAGTTGCCATTCCTCCAACTAGTAATACACTGGAAGCTCCTCTTTGTGTTTTGACTAGGAAACCAGCAGCATTTCTAAGAGTTGAGACCCAGAGGCCTGGAACTCTTCTTCTTGACTACCCTATGTTGACCAGGCTGTCTAGGAGTAGAAGGCTTATTTATCTGTACAAAGAATAAGGTGTCAATCTATACTATTATAATGCAAGAAGAAACAATAAAGAACAGATGTCTGAAACTGTCTAGGACTTAGGGTCTTTCAGAGCATTACAGCTGCAGCCCGCTTAGATGACTGTCCGTGTTGGCAGGAAGTCTGCCCTGAAGGATTAAGTTCTGGATATATCAGTCATTTCAGGGTAAATCAGATGAATAAGGCTGCATTCGCCTTGCACTTCTCTATAGAAGGTTGCTTTGGGTGTGGAGGTAGGATTTCTGCTCCTTAGCTGGTCTAATCAGAGGAACTGAGACTTGTGAACTTTCTCTCTGTTCTCCGCTGGATTCTCCCCCTCCTTGATTGCATGTTAGTCTGTTCTCTAGCTGTACTGGGGAGGAGTAAGGACAGCTCAGTGTCTTGAGAAGCTGAGGTATGCGATTTCTGCTATTACCCATTACATAATATTACGCATTTATCAAGCACCCGGCACTATGCCAGTCATGATCTCGGTGCTCACAGACACATGCTCCAGGGAGGGTTGACAATTTTTAAAGAGCCACTCAAACTACAAAAGTGCCGCACTGGTAAAAATTATGAAAAATAGTTAAAACTATCTTAGCAGCCAGAACCACGAGAATTGACTTGTATCAGGGAAATTAGAAAAACGAGCCAACACTTGAAGGATGGTAAGTGGTTAGCTGGATTAACCGGGTGGATGTGCATTGAGGCGGAGAAAAGTAACGTAGGCAGGAAGCAGCATGTAGGAAATTCTCTAAATAACTAAACGGCCAACTGCTGAGCAAGAGGAAGCACAGTATGAGTTGAGGCTAGTGAGAGAGGCAGGGCCGCACCTGAGACCATGTTCCGTGTTGTCTGTAAGCTTACAGCAGGAAGAAGCCATTGCGAGTTTTTTCTTCCGGTTTTGTCTGTTGTTGGGAGTGGGCTAGAAGTGGGTGAGGAGGAAGCAAGGAGATGAGGGCAAGAATGACCTGATCAGATTTTCCTGTGAAAGAATTGAGTACAGTGGGAAAAAAAGATAGGAGAGGGGACTAGGATTGATGTAGGTGAGTGAGTTTAGGAATCTATGTGGAGTGGTTCAAAGGAGCTGTTATTAAAGCTGAATATGATAGTGGTGACAGAGTTGGAAAAACGTGGTTGGGTATGAGAGAGATTTAAAAGACAGAATTGCTGGGGGTTAATGATGGCCTAGATAGGGAGAGTGAAGATAATGCCTGAGCCCTAGGTTTCTGACTATACAACCGAGGAATGGCGTGCCATTCCCTATAGCAGGGAGCTGCAAAAAGGACCAGGCTTGTTGAGGGAGCGGATCATGTAAGTTTTATTTGGGGCATTTTGAGTTTTGAGGTGATGTTAACTATCCAAGAGCTCTGATACGGAGTCCAGAGAACAGGTCTAAGCTGCTGAGAGGTCAGCGTGAGAGTCACTTCCATGTAGGCAGAATACAAATGAAGTGTGAGAGCAGAGTTCTGAGAAAGCGTAGATGAGAGGAGGTCTGTAGGTCCAAGGCTGAGGGGACTCCAGCATGCATGAATGATTGCACAGAGGTGGAGGAAGCTGCATCTAGGAACCTGAGGAGAAATCGGGAAGGCAGGAAGAGAGAATTTCTTGGAAATGAAGTGAACTGTGCTATCATTTACTTCTGGAGAGGTCAAGTACGATGAGGACTAAAAGTGCCCAGTGAGTTTAATCACACAGAAGTCATTCTGCACCTTAGAGTGTATTAGAGACGTGACAATGCTGGAAACCAGACTGAAGTGGATTGAAGAGGGTGAGAAAATAGAATCAACCAGCCAAGAATGTATGTTGTGAAGAGAATGGATGCAGTGAGCTTTTGTTTTGCTATTGGAGGTTATGGACATACACAGGAACACTGACTTCATACGAGATATCTTAGTCACAAAGGAGTGACAGCCAATAGAGTCCAGAAGAAAAAGCAATTTGAAAAACTTGGGTAGTAACAGTAGTAGCTGACATATTTCTATACACCAAGTACTGCCCTAAGCATGTGCTCATATGAATGTTTCCCTAAAACAACCCTATGATGTAAATGGTATCTCGTCTATATGGAAACTATGGCATAGACAGAGTAACCAAGTTATCCAAAGGCATGCAGCTAGTGAATGGCAGAGCCAGGATTTGGAGCCAGGCAGTCTGATCAGTCTGGGCTATCATCTTTGTTGTTCCGGCAGACTACTTCAGTGTTGGCAGTCCTGCCTCTGTCTCGGAATGTTCTATAATGCCCGTGTGGCTACTACAGTACCCTCTGGCTGCCTTCCATGGCAAAGACTTCAGGAGACCCAAAGATGTATTGGAGTCATAGCCATACGATGACTGTGATTTATGTCTTAAAGGTGGAGTTACTGATCATTTAACAATGAACAGGAAGACAGCATTATTCAGTCAGAATAAAGTATACCAAATAGTTACTAGAATCCTCAAGTAGGATTAAGAAAGATTTTGATAAAGTAGACCCAAGAAGGATATACGTTTTAATGTTTATGGATTCATTAAAACTTGCCCTGAGATTTCCTCCAGGTTACACAAAGTCAATTACTTGAGGATTTTTATTTATTAAAGATCCAATTAAGGCCGGCGCCGCGGCTCACTAGGCTAATCCTCACCTTGCGGCGCCGGCACACCAGAGTTCTAGTCCCGGTCGGGGCGCTGCATTCTCTCCCGGTTGCCCCTCTTCCAGGCCAGCTCTCTGCATATGGCCAGGGAGTGCAGTGGAAGATGGCCCAAGTGCTGGGGCCCTGCACCCGTTGGAGACCAGGCGAGACACCTGGCTCCTGCCATCGGATCAGCACAGTGCGCCAGCGCGCGGCCGCGGCGGCCATTGGAGGTTGAACCCACAGCAAAGGAAGATCTTTCTCTCTGTCTCTGTCTCTCCCTGTCCACTCTGCCTGTCAAAAAAATAAAAAAATAATAATAAAATAAAGATCCAATTAACTGACAGATCTATTGTAATGATGTTTTTAAAACTGGAATTTTTGACAAGCTATTTAGTCACTAGATAAAAACTTACAGAGGAATTCAGTTAGTTCTTTTAATTATCTTTTAATCTATTATCATTTTAATATTGTCCAAGACTTTCAAGAAAAAAAAAACTTGAAATTTTCAATATTGCATTAAAATAATTAGAAATAAAAGAAGCTGTGAGGCCATGTTTCAAAATTCTATATTTCAGATCGGATTATCGTCCATATGAAGTAGTCAAACAGCCTTGCCGTGTACCAGAAGAATATAAACCCAAACAGGGAAGATTGATCTTGGTACCACCTATAAACGGGATTTTAAATCTTATAAAGTGCAGCCTGTGGCAATAGTCCAGCCTTTGGAGAGAAAACAAGTTATAAAAGGAAAGTTGGACACTGTCCCAACCTATAAAGGTAACTTGCCATTTCAAAAATGGAGGAGCCAAAAAACTAAAGTTCACTTCCTGCTTTGACATCTAATACCAAATTAAAGTTTTAGTGTGTTGCCAAAGTTAACCTTCGTGGCTTAGGAATGAACATTTTTCTTTTTGGTCAAAAAAGTATTTTATAATGCAAAAAGAAAGGCAATTTGCATTTACCTGATAGAGCGCTGAGACCTGGATTTCTCTCCAATTCAGTCACTTAATTGGTTTTCTGTACCTCAAAACATTTTTTTAAAGGATGGCATTGAATAAGAGTTGTCATATTTGTCACATTTGATCAGTATTGTTCTTTCTCCCATCCTAGAGTGAGTTGGAACTCTACCTATTGTACTAAGATCTTTGAGAAAGTTAAATAAATAGCAACTCTCTTCCCTATTAAAGTTTTGAACCAACCTATGAAGCAAAAGAGTTAGCAGATGGAGAAGCAAAATACTGCCTTTATATGACAAAGGCTAGTGTTGAGGATAAGCCTTCCCTCTCCAGGTGGGTAGTTTCTGAAACAGCACCAGGCTGGGATAGGCTTATCCACCCTGCAACAAAGCTGGTTGGCCATAGAGAGGACGCTCCTCTAGGAATTCCTCAGAGGAGGAAGCATCAGCACGCCTCTTCCCTGCTGACGACTGACTTGGAGGAACAGCTACCAGGCAAGGCACAGCCAACTTTCTTTCCAAAAGAAAGGGTTCCAAAAACCTACCTTATTTTAAAATACTCTATTACTTCTAAAGGACGATGTTGCTGCGGATTCGTTCTGAGAGGAGAAGCAACAGGATGAGATCTTTATTTTTTTTTAAATAGGCTATCTTGATTATAGATATTATTTTTGCATTTTCTTTTATTAATAATGTAATTGCGTATGTAGGCTCTCCATTATGTACTTCCATTAGTTATGTGAAGTGGCTGAACAGATGTGGAAAAGTGATGACTTCTACAAAGTAATGACCCACGCTTTATTAGGTAACAGGTGAATGCCTATTTTTCCTTTAAATTTCACTTTGCCAGTTCAGTAGGCAGTTTGTGGTACCAATATACTATGATCTATAAGCCCATTTATTAAAGAGGTCAGGAATAATATTTCTCTTTTTCAAAGCTGTGAGTACATAAGATGCTAACCAAAAAAAGATCAACAAATTATGAAGACTGTGCATATAATGAACAAATAAAATGAAATGTAACATTTAGGAATTGCTGAGGTATTTATTTATATGCCTAGAAGTTAGTGTACTATACAAAGTTTGACATAAAAGATAATTAATGAAGATGACTGATGATATTTAATTTAAATGACTTCTTTTTTTAGCCATAGTAAGATTTTCCTTGTTTTCCCCTTACAAGGTCTGTAAACAAAAATCAGTAATATTGATGTCTACTGATGATGTAAACATTTACACACAGCACATACTGCACTCACACCAGTGGGTTCTCATCCTCTCATTCCCGTCATTCAAGGTTGAGGAATTCTGGGTTCCCTCTGGCCTTCACGCTCCTGAAATTCCTGAGTCAAGACAGGACACATTTTGCATTTCCAGGTTTCTAGGTATGAACCAATAGAACTACTAAGGGCCAGGGCTGTACATCATTATTTTGTGTGATTGTGATTTGTAGATACCTACTTAAAAAACAGAAAATGTAGCTGAAGTGAGGTCACAATGGAGAGAGACTTTTTCACTGTTTGCTAAGGGTTAGTGGACAGAGGAAAGACAGAAAAGGGATATGATAATGAAGCATTCAGATTCTGGAGATGTGGTTTTATGAACTAGAAGGCAGATACAATTCAACAGCAATGCCCCCAGTAGCCTCGGCTTACAAATACATGCATATTAAAATACATATGATTAAATAAGTTAGTATTTTATTTGATAAATATGTTTTAGGGGTTAATCTGCTCTTTGCTAGCCATTCTAAGGAATACAGAGATCTGGATTTCAGTATGGTCATTAGCATTTATAAACTTTATAATTGATAACCAAGATCTTTACACTGAAAAACCGTGAAATGATGCAAATATTGAAGATGAAACAAATAAATGGAAAGATATCTTGTGCTTATTGATTAGAATAATTAACATTGTTAAAATGTACATACTACCCAAAGCACTCTATAGGTTCAATACCACCCCTATCATAATTCCAATGACAAGAATAATTTATATGGAACTGTGAATGACCTGAATTAGTCAAAGCAATCTTGAGAAAAAAGAACAAAGTCGGAGGCATCATACTTCCTGATTTCCGATTATCTTAGGAAGCTATAGTAATCAAAATCATATGCTACTACTGTGATAAGACCAAATGGTGGAGCAATGGAACAGAATAGAGAGCCAGAAGTATACACAAGCATATACAGTCAACTAACTTTTGACAAAGATACCAAAAATACGCAGTGGTGAACAATAGTCTCTTCAATAAATGGTAACGGGAAAATTGAAGAAAATTTGACCCTTATCATATATCGTACACAAAAATCAACCCAGCGTGCATTAAAGACTTAGACATAAAACCTGAAACCATAAAACTCCTCAAAGAAAACATGGGAAAGTTCCTTGACATTGACCTTGGCAATGATTTTGTTTTTTAAATTACACCAGGCCACAAAACCAAAATAGACAAGTGGGCTAACATCAAGTGAAAAGCTTCCTGTGCAACAAAGAAACAACAAAACTAAAAGACAAGCTACCATTCATCATCTGAGGGTTAATATCCAAAATATATGAGACTCAAACAACTTAACTAGCAAAATAATGTATTTTATTTAGAAATAAAGAAAATTATAGTTAAAATGCTAATAGAGAAAATAATGGAATAAATATATCCTTTATTCAGAAAAATAAGGATATGGAGTAAATATGGAAAAAATCAAAAGCAAATAGCAATATAGACAACTTATGCAAGCTCATTCATTACAATAAACATAAGTGAATTAACTAAAACTCAAATATTAATCTTTTATATCCTGAAAAGATATTAAAACTTATGCCAATATTTAAAACTTACAAAAATGAGCAAATTATTGGAAAAATGTAATTTATGAAAACTAAAGAAGAATTAAAAGCAAAAGTAGTCCTGTATCTGTTCAAGAAATTGATTTGTGAAATTACAGTGCAATTTAAAAATCTTACCATAAAGGAAAGGTCATGATTTCTGTCTTCTGTGTAGGATACAGAAAGCTGGAAAAAGTATGCCCCATCTAACACCAAGAGAATGGCCAGATAATCTACAAAACTGTGAATGTTCATGAATCCTGCAGAAGTAGAGATCATCGATCAACCAATTAGCCTGAAACCTAAGAAAGAAAACTGCTTCCAAGTTGATTCAGGATGTAAGCAGTTTCACTAGGAGCAAGGCCTCAGATGATGACTAGCTGGTACACATATGGTAAATAAGAAAATCCACTTGCATTTTAACAAATTGAAAAAGACTGCGTGTAGCATAATGCGAGAATATGTAAGTTCTGAGAGCTTCAGACACAAAGAGCTCAACACCAAATGTAGACTCTTTGTGGATTCACTAGGCGGGTCATCAGAAGGACTGGAAACCAAGCAAAGTTTTCTTTAATGATGCAGGTGTGGAGGGAGGAATGGATGTTGTGGGAAGAAAGACAGGAAGCTCCATTCAAATGCCTCTAACCTGCAGAACAAAGGCATTGACACATCACTCTGTCATCCCAGTGAACAGGTGAGGCTCTACTGCAGCTTAGGGAAATGAAAAGGGAAAAAAAAAAAAAAAAAAAAAAAGGCAAAACAAACCTCTAACATCAGGGAGAAACAGGAAATTGTCCTGGACCCAAACCTCAAGATGTATCACCTCAAGGGAAGGGACAGGAGCACTGAGGGAGCCTTCCCCTTGAGACCTAAGAAACCACACCCTCACACCCACCCACCCACCCAACACTGAATCACTAAGCACCACATAACAAGAACCATCGTTTGCATTTGGGAAACAACAAGCTCGGGAGAGAGACCTGCTCTGAGATACAGGTGCAAAGAGAAAGCCTAAAACTGAGGATAAAAACCCCTCTAGCAACTCAGCCCCTATGCAAATCACAAGATAATGTGAAAAGAGTTTGAAGCTGGAGGTGTACTGAAGCTAACAGCAACAGCAACAAAATCCAAACCCAGCTGACTCTTGATTGGACTTCCTTATGCTGACTCACTAGAGACCCATCAGATAAGAAGTGTGCCCCGTTCTGGATATAAGTGTTATTTATTATTTATCTGTGCTACACACAGTATGCTTCTTTCAACCTCAAACTGTAATTACACAAAGAAAGAAAGAAAATGAGAAGGGAAGAGAGGAAGGAATTCTTTGAAAAATGTAATTTATCAAAACTAACTCAAGAAGAAATTAAAGGCCAAAATAGTCCTATATCTGTTAAAGAAATTGGATCTGTGAAGTTGTAAGTGTATTTGAAAACCTTGCCATAAAGGAAATATCAAATCACAATCTGGTCAGAAGTGACCAGGAATTTGGAACTATCAAGGAACTGTTTTGAAAAACTAAGGAAAGCAGGGAAAGAGGGAGACGGAGAAGGTGAAGTTGAGAAGGGGGATTGAAGGGAGGCCAATATGCAGGTAAAGATAGCAAATCAAAACCCATTTCTGAAGTAACCTGGAAAATGATGATTAATTCTAAAAGCTTTAATAGAAACCTACATGAATAGGTAGAGAAGTTCAGCAAAGAGATGGAAACTATAAAAAATAAAACGGTAATACTACAAATGAAAAACCATGATAATCAAAATAAGAAATTTCTCTCATGGACATATCGATAGACTGAACACAATCAAGGGGAAACAAATCAGTGAACTTGAAATAAGTCAGTAGACATAGACTAAACCAAAACACAATGAGAAAGAAAAATGAATAAATAAAACAGTGCAAAATGTCAGAAGCTGTGGAACACTTTTAAGTGGGTGTAACTTATATGTATGGAATCCTAGAAGAATAATAAAGAGAACAAGACAGGATAGTTAACAGAAGACATAATAGAAAAGAACAGTGAGTGGTATCAAAGCACAAATCCAAGAAGTTTAGAGAACCTCAAGCAATAAATTTATAAAAAGAAGAAAGAAAGCACCTAGAAACATATTCTAGGTGAAAGTAAACAATAAGAGATTCTGTTTCACAGTTGGACAGGGGACGGAGGACACATTTTGTATAGAACAAAGAAAGAATACCCAGACTTCATGTGGAGAACTATGCAAATTAGAAGAGAATAAAGTTACATCTTTAAAACGCTGAGGCTTGGGGTGCAGGAAAAACCTATCAAGTAAATTCACTCCCTAGTGAAAATATCTGTCGTAAATAAGACTTTTTCAGAATTCTCAGTAAACCTTCATTATAAGAAGTTTTAAAGGAAATCCTTTTAGCAGAAGGAATATGATATGAGTGAGAAACTCATTCTACATAAAGAAATAAGCATACTAGCAATGGTTAAAATGGAGGTGCAAAGCTGGTCACAATATTGTGGATTTGCATTATATGTGTAAGCATAACAACAGCACAGAAGGTTGGAGGTAGAAATTGTAAGTATACTGCCATATGGTAGAAGATGCCCCGAGCATTTTGGCCCCCGCCATCCATGTGAGAGATCTGGATGAAACCCCTGGCTCCTGGCTGCGGCCTGGCCCAGCCCTGTCTGTTGCAGCCACTGGGGGCGTGCACTAGCTGATGAAAGGTCTCTCTCCCACTAACTCTGACTTTCAAAATAAATTTTTTAAAAAAGAATATTGACTGTAGTTAATTAAAATTGTGTGTTTCCAACTTTAAGCATCAACAAACTATGGCCTGTGGACCAAGGCCTTTTTATAAAAAAAAAATTTATTGACACACAACCATGACCACTCATACATAAATGACATTAGTTAGGGATAAAAAGACCAAGTGACAAACACATATACAAAACCTAAGTATGTATGCCCCTAATACTTGAGCTTCAAAATACCTTAAGTAAAACATAGTACTAAAATAAGAAAACAAAAAACTGGAAATTGTAGTTGTATCCTTCAACACTGTCCTTTAATCTATAGAACATGTAGACAGGAAATTAGTAAGGATGTAAGATCTTGAACAGCACTATCAATGATAGTGATTTAACTGACATTCGTAAAGCACTCTTGGCAGTACTACACATTCTTCTCAAGTGCACGTGGGACATTTGTCTAGATAGACCCCACTCTGAGCCATAAAACAAAGATTAACAAATATACAGTGATTGAAATCATGTATATTTCCTGACCATGGCAATTAAATTAGATATCAATAATAGAAATATGGAAATCTCCAAATGTTGAGGAAAATTGATTTTAAGAAGTAATATAGAAATTTGAAAATGTTTTGAATGTAATGAGTGAAAATTGCCTTATCAAAACGCGGGCTGGATCAGGAGCGATGCTTCAGGGGAAACTTATAAGCATTTAATGTTCCTATTAGAAAAAAAGAAACTCTTAATTTTATAGCTTAAGATTCCATCTAATTAAACTACAAAAATAAGAGCCAATTAAATCAAAAGCAAAGCAGAAAGAAAGAAATACTGAAAAAAAGAGCAGCAGTCAATTCATTTGAAAATGAAAACAGAAAAGTGATACAAAATAAGTGAGAAAAATTTTTTCTGTTAAAAAATAAAGTTAATGAACTGAAATAAAACATTAATTACGAATATTAATAATAAAAGCAGTGACATCATTACAGACTTTATGGACCTTTATTCTGCATTGCTATTCTTTTCCTTTTTTCTTTTTTCTTTTTTTTTTTTTTTTTTTTGACAGGCAGAGTGGACAGTGAGAGAGAGAGACAGAGAGAGAAAGGTCTTCCTTTGCCGTTGGATCACCCTCCAATGGCCGCCGCTGCAGCCGGCGCACCGCGCTGATCCGATGGCAGGAGCCAGGATCCAGGTGCTTTTCCTGGTCTCCCATGGGGTGCAGGGCCCAAGCACCTGGGCCATCCTCCACTGCACTCCCTGGCCATAGCAGAGAGCTGGCCTGGAAGAGGGGCAACCGGGACAGAATCCGGCGCCCCAACCGGGACTAGAACCCGGTGTGCCGGCGCCGCAAGGTGGAGGATTAGCCTATTGAGCCACGGCGCCGGCTCCTTTTCCTTTTTTCTAATTCTTGACAATTTTATCAGGTTGCTATTCTTTGTTTCCCTCAAGAAGAGAAAAATTAAACTTTAGGAGATTTTATCAACAGAATTTGAAAAATGCTTGAAAGGTAATGAGAAAGAAAGGAGACTGGTTAGAAATTTTTGCCTGGGATACGAAATTCATAATAAAAACCGAGATTTTGGAAATGTGAGTCTGAGTAGGATGGTGAATTTGGGGCGTACTGAGTTTTGATTGCCTGGGGACAGCCAGGCAAATAGAGATGTCTAATAGGAGGGCACCCTGAAGGAGCTGGTGTTTGAAGGGAGGCCTGTGGTAGACTGACGTGTGAGAGTCAGCAGCTAAGCCTGCGGCAGCAGTCTAGTGGTGTGCAGATGGAGATGAGACCGCCTGACTTTGTAAATGTTGTTTCCAATCCTCGGTACCTCCACACCACAAAGAGCGGAGTACCTAGCATAAGCAGCTCAAGACTTTGGTCCTCAGAGAAGAACCTAGAACAGCTCACTGTATTAAAATGGGGGAGGGGAAAGGAGCTTTGCATACAAAGGGTGAGCAGACACGCAGGAGTGAACACAGCTGTGAAATGAACAGACTGTAGTCAGACCTGGACAGCGCGGAATTTTTTTTTTTTCGTGTCCTAAAATGCTAAAAACAGATGACACTAAAAAAGACTCTGATGTTTTAAATATATTGATAGAATGTTACTAATGGATATTCTAGAACAAATAATCTAAGCATACGAGTATGGGCGTAATTATAGCGAGAATATCAACATTCTACCATTATCTAGAAGTGATACTCGTCCTAATATGTGCTGCCGAACCTTGGCTCTCAGTCTCCAAATTCTTGTTTCCATTTTGAAAGCCAAAGTTGGTTTGGTGAGGGAGAAATATTCTGGTCTGTTTCCGCCCATAAAATAACATCTTTTTTCTTTGAGTCTCTGGCGCCAGCCAGGGCTGTCCCTATGTGATTGTGTGGAACTATAGGCCTTCCTTAACATCAGTGATTTCCTATGACTCACTGCAAAATAGTATCAGAGTTTTATACTTCATTTGCCAAGAACAGGGATTGCTCCACGATACCGTAAGAAAAAGAGACTCTGGAAAAGTCTCATGAACTGGAAATGGAGAGCTACTGGGCACAGAGGACTCTAAGGGCAGAGCTGCGCTTCCTGTCTCTGCAATGAGCTGGCTACCGGCTCTCACTCATAGCATCTTGCGTCGTCTGCAAATCTGCCCCCGTCACCACTCTGCCTACTCGCAGCTTCCTCTGCTTGTGTATCCTTCCCACTTCTTCTCCATGTCTGTTTTGAAAATGATTGCAGCCTGCTCTGGCTCTCCAACTCTTCTTCATTCATTCTTTCAGATTGTTCGCTTCCCCCTGTCGGACTGCTTATTGTCAACTTCAGGTGCACAAGAACACGAATGCTTGGTCTAACTCCTCTTTCATTGCCAGTTTGTTTCCTAAGTCTCTGCCGGCTTAAAGATTGTCTGCTCTTGGGACAGGTCCCTGCTCTTATCCAAACATCGGTGACTTAATCTTTTAGTCCAAAACGTGCCCATTTTGTCAGAAATGTCTATAGGTGAGGAATTTTCCAATTGAAAGAGGTATCCACGTAACCAGCATTTGAGGTTTGGCCTTGCCATTGAACACTGCATGGACTACAGTCGAGATTTTCACATATTGTCTCGTGTGGCAAACTTCTGTCTTTTATAAATCAATTTTCATATTTAGAAATATATATTTCTGAGTGAAGCCAATTCTGTAGTATTTCCCAAATTACTACTTTTCTCATCTAGCAATGGGAGGCCTAAATAACCCTCATTTGAAATATGCATGGTCTAGGAAAAGCTGCAGGAAGCAGGCTGAAGGGCAAAGAATTAAAAGATAAGTTTATTGTGGTGCAAAAAATTTGAAAAAAAGTTCCTGCATAGTTTTCTCATAAAATGCATTTCCCATAAATTGTTTAAAGACCATTTGGATTTCACTTAGAAATCCCATACAGCTTTCGTGTTGCAGCCAATGATCTTTCCATGCCTGCGCAAGTCCCCCTCCATCCTGGATAGGGTCCTGTAGCTTTCCGGGAGGACAATGAAGTGGAAATGTTCTCTCCTTCGAGGAGCCCCTCAAAGCACGGGGAATACCCACACCCGTTTTGCCCTCACACCTGGGCACTTGATTATATCTTAAGACCTGAACTTGATGGCTCATCCTAGCAACTTTGTGAGTTGTGGCAAAACTCTCGACCAGTTCCTTGGAATACAATTATAATCTCCTAAACTCTGCTCTCGCCAACAACAAACACAATTTTTTTTTTTTTTTTTTTTTTTTTTTGGCTTTCAAGAATTATACACAGCCAGGTCCAGCTGTGCCATTCCCCTGATACATACTCAGATGAGTCTGAAGATGGGGAGTTCTGTGTGTTAAAATGGGGAGATGCGTAGGGGAGGGGAGTGAAGTGCAGGAAGTGAAATAGAACAGAGCTGAGGAGAACCACAGGAACTTCACTAAAGCAATGCAAGGATGTTTCACAGTGCGAGAAGCCATGATTCTTAGACGGTGTGGTTTTCTTTATCATTTAAACGTGTTTGTTTGTTTCATTTTCAAGATGATTATAGAGCTTGGGACATTCAGAAAAGTGAGCTTTATAAACCAGAACACGCTTATCATCCCCCTACCGTGAAATTCGGAAATGCCACCACATTTCAGGATGACTACGTTCCGCAGGAGCTAAAGCCAAGGCGAAGCTGTAAACCGTCCCCTGTGCCCAAACGGTCCACCGTCCCTTTCAATGGCGAGACCAGTCACCGCCTTGACTATGTACCACATGAGCTAGAATTCAAGATTGCAAGGCCGAGAGAAGTTTACAAACCAACTGACCGGCCCTTTGAGGACCTCACAACTCATCGGTGTGACTTTCAGGGTCTTGCTGGTGACATGGCAAAAATCTGCAAGCCCCCATACACCAGAGTGACCCCGAACGCCCCCTTTGCAGGAAGCACGGAATTCCGTGCAAGTTTTCAGGCCTGGGAAGTGCCAGCCCCTGGCGCGAAGAAGGCAGCAGAGTACGTGCCGCCCCCAGGAAGCATGCAGTCACACAGCACGAGCCACCTCGACTACGTTCCGCATCCAGCCAGCCGTGCCGCTCCCATCAGACCAGGTGCTCCTAGGAGCAGCAGCCATGTTCCCTTCCAAGGAAGAAGCACCACGAAGGAAGATTTCCCAGCGTGGGAAAGCCGTCGTCCAGGCCTCGTGCAGCCGCAGCCGCAGATCCCCGGCCCATCTGGAAGATTCGACGGCGTGAGCACCTTCAGAGCGCACTATGTGCCGCATGAGCTGATCCCCACAGCGAGCTGCAAACCTCCCACGGTTGCTCTTCAGAGCGCTGCTCCCTTTGATGACGCGACCACGTACTCCATAGAGTACACCCCAAAGAAACAGGAAGTCTGCCCAGCTAGCTGCCCCTCTCCTCCAGGTTACGTGTTTGAAACTACAGATCCGCAAGGTCACAGACGCTTCCGCAGGATCGCACCTGCACTGAAGGCCTTCTGACCAGCAAAGTGTGCAAAAGGAAGCTACCTGGCAAGGTGTTGGTTTTCCAAAGGAACGCAATTTCTGTATAGTGAAAAAAAATTGTGAGAGAGATGTGACACATCATCTTTTAGATTTTTAAACGAGAAAATTGTAAAATGTATTATAGGAGATCAAAATCTTAAGATTCATTTTGTATCGATAATTTAGCTAAGCTTATACTTTAATATATATTTCTGAAGTTTACCTAATGTACCATAGAAATCAGCAAATCTGTCATCATTTCTACTTCTGTTTACAAATATGGTTGTTCACATCCCAGGTGCCTTCTATCAAGCATGTTAGGACTGTCTAGAGCGACGCTGAGAATGACAGAGGGGTTCCCCTTCTGAGGCGATAGGATTCATTTTCCTGCCACTTGGAGGCAGCTGATCTGCATGGCGCGCCCCAGCGCACTCTGGGGTGGTGATGTCTGAGACTGCTGCGCTGCTCCTCACTGTGTGCAGTCACTAAGGAAAGACTGCGGTGGGAATCCCAGCACCCGAGTTCAAGTTCTAATGCTGTCTGCTTGTTTGTGCCACCTTCGGCGAGTGACTCGTGTCTGCAAGCCCCTGAGCCTTCATTTGTAAAGGGATAGCTCTTCTGCCTACCTTACACAAATTCTGTTCTGAGCATCAGATCATAGGATGCATTTTAAGTAAATTTCAAGTAAAAGCACAAAGGTAAGGGACTCTTTGTACCTGTTCTCTCCTCTACAAATTGAGATGATTACCTACCCTCTTGATAGTCACCATCTGGCCTGCAACAAGGATTGTTGGCTTTGAGTTTCTGATTTGTAATGGATATTTCTTTGTTTTAGATTTAACAATTTTAATATTTTCCATACTTGCTTAATATGTAAATGTTTCACATATTTATGCATACATATTGAATGCTAATGCACCGTTCATCGGAATACAAAGTAGTCCTACTGTGGATGGAAAACAGTCTGGCTAGTCCTCAACAATCTAAAAATAGATCTTTACCATAGTACCCATCTATTCCACTTTCGGGGATTATATCGAATGGAAGTAAAGTCAGCAGAGGAAAGAGAGCCCAGTAGTTCACGTTTGTTGCAGTGCTGTTCACAATAGCCAAGGTGCTGAGTCAGCCGCAGCGTGTGCTTCTGCGAGCAGTCTTGCCCTCTAAGCTTCGCAAGCACCCGAGAAGTTGCTGCAGAGAATGGAGGACCTGGACTGGGGTACCCGCGTGGTTTGAACCCCAGTATTTGCGGAACGGAAAAAGCATTTGCTGGAGCAGTTTTCAGAAGGCTGGCGGCTCTTAAGAACTCCTCAAGATGATCTTAGGTAGTTACACACCCAAGTGCCATGCACAGGTTCACTGCTCTGTAGCAGAAGCAGGCCCAGCAGGGGCCTACGCACCTGCTCACGTCTTCCGGTGTAGAGATGAGCGCTCCGAAGGGAGTGAAGGAGCGACACCAGGAAGTGCAACAGAAACGACATGGCTGCGCCAGTGCGGAGAGTCAGTGATTACAGACTGGGAAAATGTTATTTTAGCATAAAGTGCAGAAGACTAATGTGTTACAGTTTAGAGTTGTTTCCAAATATCTACCTTATGGGAATAAAAATAATATTTGGTTAAAGAATTTCTGATTATTTGAAAGTAATTTGTTCTTACTTATATTTGCATGTATTAATGGAAAATATGGCATGTAAAATTTTATATTTCTATGCAACATTAATAAAACATCAATAAAAGGAATGAATTTTCATGAAATCATTTCTGTGCCCTATTTCCTTTGGAAAAGACAGCTTTTTAATAAAAACTTCTCTTAACTTAACCTATACTTAGATATTCTTGCTTTTTCCTTAGAAAACATTACTATAAAATCTAAATTAAAAATCAGGGGCTATCGCAGCACTGTCTCATCCTGGCCTGTATTCCAATGCTGGATATTCAGATCTCTGTATGTTGATAGGTGTTCTCCTCCCTGGAAAAAGGACACCCAAAATAGATATCTTCTGGAATTTTCCTGAGGCCATTGGCCACCCACTGAGAATTTTAAAATAATGGCATTTTCCTGTCATCTAGCCCTCAATACAGTAGGCATGGAAATAGAAATTGAAGACATTTAGCCTAGGAGTTCAAGAAAGGCTTCCTTAAAAGTTTTGTTTGAAAGGTTAAGTAGGGATTTGCCTGGTCAAGAAAAATGGGCAGCCGGTGCCCCGGCTCACTAGGCTAATCCTCCGCCTTGCGGCGCCGGCACACCGGGTTCTAGTCCCGGTCAGGGCGCCGGATTCTGTCCCAGTTGCCCCTCTTCCAGGCCAGCCCTCTGCTGTGGCCAGGGAGTACAGTGGAGGATGGCCCAAGTGCTTGGGCCCTGCACCCCATGGGAGACCAGGAGAAGCACCTGGCTCCTGCCATCGGATCAGCGCGGTGCACCTGCTGTGGCGGCCATTGGAGGGTGAACCAACGGCAAAGGAAGACCTTTCTCTCTGTCTCTCTCTCTCACTGTCCACTCTGCCTGTCAAAAAAAAAAAAAAAAAAAAAAAAAAAGAAAGAAAAATGGGGAGGTGGGAATAGCATAAGCCCAGGGTCTGTATCTCCGAGCAGCAGCTGAACAGAGTCCAAGGTGCGGCAGTGGAAAACTAGGCAGCCCTGATTCACCCTCCTCTCAGGCCTCCTGGAGATGTTATGCGGGAACACGCGCACATTCACTCAACACTTCAACAGTGCGGAAAGCTAGTAACATCCTTGATCGACCGGCCAGATTCCAGGAGGCATTTCCACTAAGCCAAACTTAGAAGAACCTGAAAGGAGGAAATTCAGAAAGAAAAGTCAATAGGAAGTTCCCATTTCCACCCCCTCTCCCTGCGTACCCTTTTGTGGAAAGTAAGCCCACAGACACAGAAATTGGGAGGAGAGGATTTAGTTTATAAAACGTGGACCGGCACTGTGGCACAGTGGGTTAAGCTGCAGCCTGCAGTGCAGCATCTCATATGGGTGTCGGTTCGTGTCCTGGCTGCTCCACTTCTGCTCCCTGCTAGTGCACCTGGGAAAGCAGCGGACACGTGGCTCAAGTTCCTGGGCCCCTGCCACCCACATGGGAGACCCAGAAGAAGCTCCTGGCTCCTGACTTCAGCCTGGTCCAGTCCCTGCTGTTGTGGCCATGCAGAGAGCGAACCAGTGGATGGAAGATATCTGGCTGTCTCTCCCTCTCTCTGTATAACTCTGTCTTTCAAATCAATCAATCTTAAAACTTGCAAGGACAACGCAAGGAGTAAGCCCTAAGGTAAATTAGGGAGCTGGGGGATGATGTGGCGATGTAGGAAGGAGGCTGTGCACGTGCTGGGGACGGGAGACACGGGAACCCTTTGTACTTAATTGTACTGTGAACTGAAAATTGCTCTGAAAAATATCTTTAAAAAAATCCTTCACAGCAGAAAGAAAGGAGGGGAGTATTTACCAGTTAGATGTTAGGAACCCCACATCCTATCTTCTTAATACCTCAAATGTGCAGGCTTCCTTTTATACAAACTCCAACCAGACGCCCTCTCAGGGAACTGTGTGTGGCAGGAGGAGCTTCCTAACAACGCCCAGGAAAGGGGGAGGCTTCTTTTCTTAGTATCCAGCAGAGAAGGGGAGAAAGAACCTTGCAGCCCCGTGAGCACACTTGAACTAGGCTGTTTAAAAAGTGAGCTGATAGCATAACTTGTGAGAGAGTCACAGTGTCCAACAAAACATCAAGAAACTTCCATTTGGTTAAGCCTTTAGCTTCTTCCTTTCTGTCCACTCCATGGTCTTTTACATGGAAATGTAGATTTTTTTTTTTTTTTTTTTTTTTTTGCCCTATGTCACTGACAGGCCTGTCACCAACGTCACCCCTCCCCAGCCTACTCATAGACAGCACACAGCTGGACAGCTGATCTCTAGAGTGGCCAGGGGTATTTGAATACCCCGTCCAACAGCCCCACCCATGAAGATCTGTATTTGCAGCCATTGTGGAACTATGATGGCTAATGAGGAAATGTGGCTAAAAGGTGTTGGGCAGGTTAGTTCCTTCTAAGGGCTGCCAGGGAAAGCCTGTTCAATGCTTCTCTCCTAGTTGCTAGTGTTTTCAAGAAATCTTGGAGTTCTTGGCTTGTAAAGCTCTGCTCTCATCCCAGTCTCTCTGAGCGTAGGCATTGGTTTTCAAATTTCCCCTTTACAATTAGGAAGTCACTAGTCATATTGGCAGAGTGCCCACCCTGGTGACCTCATGTTAACTCGATCATCCCTAAAGATTCTTTCCCGGTAAGGTCACACTCACAGGTGTTGGGAGTTCCAAGTTCATCTTTTGGGGGATGCAGTCCATAAAGGATGACGCATCATTAGATGCTCGCATCATTGCCCATGGGAAGTTCCGTGAGGGGAAGACATTTGACCTGATGGCCAAGATGTCCAGTCCCACGTGGGATAACCTGGGTTTGAGTAGCAGCTCCAGCTCCCAATTCCAGGTTCCTGCCAAAGCGGACCCCAGGAAACAGCAAGTGCTGGCCCAGGTACCTGGATCCCAGTCCCCCATGTGGGAGACCTGCATGGAGCTCTCAGCTCCTACCCTTGGCTTGGCCTAGTCTTGATCCTTGGGGGAGTAAACTAGCAGACAGAGGCACTCCTGCTGCCTCTCATATAATTAAATAATAAACCACAATGAGAAAATCACACACACAGCTGTTAGAATGGCTTAAGAAAGCAAAACAACACAGGAAGTCCTGACCATCGCAGCTATCGGCAAGGATGTCGATCAACTGGAACACTCAGACATTGTGGTGAGAACCCAAAACGGTACACTTCGGAAAATAATTTAATGGCTTCTAATAAGGTAAACACACACATCCCATACGACCTAGCAAACCCACTGTTAGGTGTTGATTGAGAGAAAATGTATGTTAATTAAAGAAAATATATGTGAGTCTCCATAAGCCTTTATTCATAATAACCCCAAACTGGAAACAACCCAGATATCTTTCAACTGGTAAAGGTATAAACTTCTAACCAGAGAAAGCCAATTCAATAAACAAACCGTTGATTCACCCAATAGCAGCCATGAAACAATGTTTTAGTGAGTGAGAGAAGGCAGACTCCAAAGACTACGCATTGTATGGATCCATTTATATGAAATTTTGGAAACGACAGAACTACAGGGACAGAAAATAGATTAACAGCTGTCAGAGGGTAGGAGGAGGTTTGGGGGATGTAAGTATCATGGCAGGAACCAGTGGTAGATGTACAACTAGACTGTCAAAAGTATTAGGGTGAATTTTATTCTGTAATTATTAAAAAAAACCATCACCTAGGATGTGGGGAGAACCCAACAAGGAATGCAGACTGTGGGTATATCTGTCCTAAAAGCTAATCACATAACTACTTCTACCAGAATAGGAAGAAAGGACATGACCTAAGGAACTGGAAAACAGGGTAAGAACAGACACTATAAAGCTAGAGACAAAGAAACACATGCACACAAAGGGAATTGTTTGTTGTTTTTTTTTAAAAAAATCTCACAGAGGTATACTAGCAATTCTAAACTGTCTTATGAGTGTGCATGCTCAAACTATCCTGAATTACACCCCACAACTAAGTGGATCCATCAGAGCTGTGCACGTCTGGTTCCACATTTGAAAAGAAACAGCATAACTCAGCACATCAATAGGCCAACGAAGAAAATCACATGTTCATGTCTATAGATGCAGAAAAAACATTTAACAAAATCCAACAGCCATGCGTGTTAAATCTATCAGGAATAGAGGAAACCTTCCTGGATCTGATGCGGAATGCCTACAAACCCACCTACCGTTCTCATGCTTAATAGTTGGAAACTCCATAAGAAGTAGGAGCTAGTCAGTGGGTCCCCTATTATCATTCATCTGCAGCGTTATACCGGATGTGCTAGCTAATACAATAAAACAAGAAAAGGGAATGAAAGACATGCGGATTCAGGAGGAAGATATCAATTACATTTGCTTGCCCGTGGCATGGCATCTGTGTAGAAAATCCAAAAGAACCAATAACAACAATAACAACAAATCTTGCTGCAATTAAAGTGATTATAGCAAGGTTGTATGCTAGGTTAATTTAGAAAAGTCAACCACTTTCCTAGATCCCGGCAATCAACAAGGGGGGTTATAGGGGCCGGCGCTGTGGCGCAGCAGGTTAATGCCCTGGCCTGAAGCGCTGGCATCCCATAGGGGTGCCGGGTTTGAGACCCGACTGCTCCACTTCCGATCCAGCTCTCCGCTATGGCCTGGGAAAGCAGTAGAAGATGGCCCAAGTCCTCGGGCCCCTGCACCCACGTTGGGGACCCGGAGGAATCTCCCTGGCTCCTGGCTTCGGATCGGTGCAGCTCCAGCTGCTGCGGCCAATTGGGGAGTGAACCAGCGGAGGGAAGACCTCTCTCTCTCTCTCTGCCTCTCCTCTCTCTGTGTAACTCTTACTTTCAAATAAACAAATTTTTTAAAAAAGGGGAAATTAGAAATTAAAAACAATACCATTTACATTAGCACTCCCCAAAAAAACTGAAACACTAAGGTATAAATCTAACAAAATATGTACAATATTCATGTGAAGCAAACTACAAAACTCTGATGAAAGAATTCCAAGAATTACATCAATAGAGATATGGTCTATGTTTTTCCAAACTTGATCTGCAGATTCAGTGG